TTCTGTTCCATTGATCTATGTGTCTGTTTTTGTGCCAGTACCATGCTGTCTTGGTGATTACAGCTTTGTAATAGAGCTTGAAGTCCAGAATTGTGATGCCCCCAGCTTTGTTTTTCTTTTTGAACATCCCTCTGGCTATTCAGGGTCTTTTCTGGTTCCATACAAATTTCAGGATTATTTGTTCCATTTCTGTGAAAAAAGTTGATGGTGTTTTGATAGGGCTTACATTTAATGTGTAGATTGCTCTAGGTAGCATAGACATTTTCACAATATTTGTTCTTCCAATCCATGAGCATGGAATGTTTTTCCATTACTTTGTGTCTTCCTCAGTTTCTTTCATGAGTATTCGATAGTTTTCTGAGTACAGATCCTTTGTCTCTTTGGTTAGATTTATTCCTAGGTATCTTATGGTTTTGGGTCCAATTATAAATGGGATCAACTCCTTAATTTCTCTTTCTTCGGTCTTGTTGTTGGTGTATAGAAATGCAACCGATTTCTGTGCATCTGGTATTTTAAACTAAATACTAAAATTAATTTCAGTTCTCCTTCTAAACAGGTGAGGAATTTAGCCTATTTTTTTTTTCCTACTACAAACAGCGCTCTTCAACCTCCCATGTTGTCTGGAGTTTCAGTTGTATCTTGTTCTTAAATACAAAAGAATGGTTATTATTGTTAGCATATTTTGTACCAGTTTTCTTTTTCTTTGCTCTTGAATGTCATCTTTCTTTCTGGCTTCCTGTTCTTTCTTGCTGGAGTCTCTCTTGCAGTAGTGCTTTTAGTGAGGGTCAGTTAGCTCTCTTGGGCTTGGGATGTATAAAAAATGTACTTATATTACTTGTACTCTCGAATGATCATTTATCTGTGGGTAGAATTCTCTTGTGTCGGTTTTCCCCCTTGAACAGCTGTGAGGATGGAATTACTCTCTTCTGGCATCTGTTGCTTCTGAGAAGTCTGCTGTTAGTCTGTAGCAAGTCTGAACGTGTGGTTTTGCATTTTAAGATAATCTACCTTCTCTGATTTGGAGATTTTTCTCTTAATCTGTAATTTCACTACAGTGTGTTTGAAATTGTTCTTATTTATCCTGCTCATCACTTTTTACTTATTTAATCTAATTCTTTTGGTTCTGGCAAATTCTTACCAATTGTCTCTTTATTGCCTGTTTCCAAATTTCTCCATTCCATTCTTCTGGAATTTTGACCAGGAATATACTGAATTATCCCCTTTCTTTCCTTCCTGTCTCTTAGCATCTTGTTCATATTCTTTTTTTTTTTTTTTTTTAAGGTTTTATTTATTTATTTGACACAGAGAGACAAAGTGAGAGAGGGAACACAAGCAGGGGGAGTGGGAGAGGGAGAAGCGAAGCACGCTTCCCGCTGAGCAAGGAGCCTGATGCGGGGCTCGATCTCAGGGCCCTGGGATCATGATCTGAGCCGAAGGCAGATGCTTAAAGACTGAGCCACCTAGGCGCCCCCTTTTTTTTCTTTTTAAGAGAGAGCACGTGAGTGGCGGAGTGTCAGAGGGAAAGAGAGAGGGAGAATCTGAAGCAGGCTGATGCTGGGCCTGGAGGCCAACATGGGGTTTGGTCATGGCCCTGAGATCACGACCTGAGCCGAAACCAAGAGTCAGACGCTTAACTGACTGAGCCACCAAGGCGCCCCCAGCATCTTGTTCATATTCTTAACTTTCTTTATTTCTCTGTGCTGTGTTTGCTGTTATTTTTTAAGTTCTCAATTCACTAATCCTCTTTTCAGTTTTTTTTTTTTTTTTTTAATGAGCGTGTTTTCATTTTTGGGTTTCTACTCCGTTCTTTTTCAAATCCAATTGTTCTTGTTTTATAAGCTCCTATTCTTAGATAAGGGATTTGTATTTTTTCCCTTTGTGACAAGAATACTATTTATTTATTATTTATTTGAGAGAGAGAGAGAGAGAGAGAAACAGCATGAGAGGGAAGAGGGTCAGAGGGAGAAGAAGGCTCCCTGCTGAGCCGGGAACCCAGTGCGGGACTCGATCCCAGGACTCTGGGATCATGACCTGAGCCGAAGGCAGACGCTTAACTAACGGAGCCACCCAGGCGCCCCGACAAGAATACTATTTAAAAAATATTTTCAGATGTTCTGTTTTCCTATCCTGAAAATCTTTTCCGTGTACTGCAGTGTGATTGGCAGGGCTTCTAGGAAAAGGGATGGGAAACACCCACTATTTTCTAAAAGACATTAATCAGCTTTTGTCATCAAGTTAAATTTTGTTCAGTTCCACAAAAAGAAAGTAAGCTTGAAGTCCAGGCTCCTTTACGTCTAGAGAAGTTATTCTAGTCAGCTGTAAGGTCTAAGTGGTAAGCCAGAATCAGAAAGGAGAAAGTTATTATGTAGGGAGAGTGAAAGCCCCAGAGCCACCAAAGACCTTGGGTACATGTGGGGCCAGCTATGGGACCAGCTGGTTGGGCATGCAGCCTGGGCAGCCACACAGGGCCCCATCCTTAGAAGGGCCCTGTAATTGGTTTAATGCTCTGCTGTCGCCATCTTGAAGTTCCTAATAATTTTTGAACAAGGGACCCTTATTCATTTTGCACTGGGCTCCAAAAATTAGGTAGCTGGGCCTGGTACTAAGGGAAGTCCTGAGAGATAGGAGGAGGAAGTAAAAGAAGAACTGACCTTTACTGACCCTAGGACATTGTGGGTAGAAGAGGCAGGAGAGACAGTGAGTGAGACACATGGATTCCCCTTGCCCTGTGGCCCAGGAAGGAGAATATCATTTGACTTAATGGGAACACCAAAGGTGGGATCCTTTTGTCTCACTTTACACTTTGGACTCTGGCAGGAGAATTTAGTTCCCTACCTCTAAAACTGAGATGATAGGGGCACCTGGGTGGCTCAGTTGGTTAAGCGTCTGCCTTCAGCTCAGGTCATGATCCCAGGGTCTTGGGATCGAGCCCCACATCGAGCCCCACATCGGGCTTGCTACTCAGAGGGGAGTCTGCTTATCCCTCTCCCTCTCTACCTGCTTGTGCGTGCTCTCTCTGTCAAATAAATAAATAAAATCTTAAAAAAAAAAAAAATATATATATATATAATATATATATATATATATAAAATTGAGATGATAAAACAATCTGAAGAAGACTTTAAAATAAAGTTCTTAAATTTTTCAGAGAGACAACATAGTAGGTTTGTAAATTTACTCCCACTGTACTCAGGTGAACAGAGAAAATGTAGTTCATGAATAGTTCCCATCCCTATAGAAGTAGGAAGAAAAAAATCTAAATTTTAAGTTTAATCCAGTAAACCTGGTCCAGTGCAATAAGTCCCTTTAAGCTTAATTTTTGTTCTTGATTTAAACGTGGCTGATTGCTCAGATTTCCACCTCTTTTCCCTTTGCTCTCCCAGGTGGTGAGGGGTATCTGGGAGGATGTAGCAAACATGGCTGTGCAGTGGGCCTTGAAGGATGGAAGCCACTTCCTGAGGATGGTCAACTGGCAAGACAGGAGCCTCGGTCGCTGATGACACTACCAAGATGCTGTATCAGCCCAGGATGGCCTCCCTCCCCTGAACTTCTTTTAGGTGAGAAAGAAATACATTTCTGTTTGGTTAAGTGATGATTATTTTATTTTATTTATTTATTTATTTATTTTTTAAAGATTTTATTTATTTATTTGAGACAGAGAGA